ACGTTTTTACTCCTATCTAGTGCAATTTCTGTTATGTTTTTTATTCCCTGAATATGAATAAATTTCTGCCAAGTTTTTTAAACATGACAATTTTTTCCAAACTAGACAGATTACTCTTATTCAGGGAATACAAAAACACGATAGTCCTATTTTAGATTTTCAAAACGTTTTTAGTCCAATTTAGGGTAATTTCTGTTATTTTATTAATAAAATATATTTTAAATATAAATTTTTCATAAATCAGCAGAATCAACCAATATAGCCATTTCATCCATAACTTTATGAATTTCAGCATAATCAACCGATTCAGTCGATTTCGGTGTTACCAAATGGGCTCTTAGTTTAAATTGGACTTGCAGCCACTAAATGGCCATAACAAGTTTACGTGAACATTTTAAAGAAGTTATTATGCAAGTAACGTTGATTTTTCTCAAAAACGAAAATAACTTTAAACAATATCAACTATCTTACATGAACCAAGAATAATACGTACTTTAGAAATAACCTTTAATAATATCAACTATCTAATTGTAGAACAAAATTAATATGGAGTTGCCTTTTTACAAGAAATTTGGTCATTCTAGACATCAAAAACTAATATTAAACCATCAAATAAATGATATTTGTAAATAAGGTCACTTATTTGATATTTTGATACTAGTTATTTATTAGTTAAATGGCTATTTTTTGTGAAAAAATGTTTTATATCACTTTTTAAATATATTCAAATAGTTAGTATTATTAAAAGTTATTTCTAAAGTGTGTATGATTCTTGGTGATGGAGTATATGGCCCAGGAACCCCCGGCCCATAGACTCCTACTTCTCCTACACAAGTTCATTGGGCCCAGGGAACAACTCAGGCCCAAAATGCGGCGGCCCAAGCCCCGACGTAGCCCAGAATACGCACTGGGGTGCCTTCGGCCTCCTTGGCCGAAGGCTCCAAACCTCACAGGGTAGCCTTCTCTGGCATAAGAGGCTACTGGGAGAAAACGGCGAAAAACAGGAGCCTTCGGCACTATCAAGCCCTCGGCATCAGAGAAGCCTTCGGCTGAACCAAGCCTCCGGTCACACAGGGCCTTCGGCTACACAGGGGTCCGTGGCAACGAGGAGCCCTCGGCCATACAAGGTGCCTTCGGCCAAGCATGCTCAATCATCGAAGATTCCTTTTAGGGACAGCCAACCACCGCATTTAATGCCACGTCACATCCGCCAACCGCATTCAATGCGGTGAACGTACCACTGCCGGTGCCACCAGGCTGATGTGACCCTTCGGCCGTCGGATTACTGACACGTGTACTCTCATCGCATTTATTGCTGCTATAAATAGCAGCCCATTTCTCCTTGTAATAGGGGAATCTACATCTCAACTCCACGCTGAGTTCATTTAATAAAATCGACTCTCTCTCCTCCTATTTACTCTGACTTCTCTCTAGTTATTCCCGCAATAACCCCTCGGATAAGATACCCCCCGGGTAGACCATCCATCATTTGGTGCTCTCGTTGAGAGGTTTGAACACAATCAAGTGAGAAAACCTCCCAAAACCAACCAAAAATATACAAGAAATCAGTCAAAAAATTAATCTGGAAAATCCAGATCTAGGGAAGAAGATGTCGCCGCCGAGGGGATCGCCGGACGCCGGTACTAGTCGCTGCTGCACCAGATCCGAGTTAGAACCGCCATCACCGTGCAAAGCCTCCACTGTGCGTCGTTGTTCTCAACCAGCCCCAGGTCTGCTCTGAATAATGCCTGGACACTGGAGGATCTCCACCGTCGCAGCTCTCTGGTCATAGTAGCAGCTCGCTACGCTGCCTCCGTCGAAGCTGAGCCTCGAACCGCGTGAGTATCCGCAAAGCATAGTAGGAGCGGTCGCGGCTAAGAGATTTCTGGAAAGCATTGTGAGCTTCCGCCATTAATGGCCGTCTGAGAGCTCTGTTCACGGTCCAAGCATCAGAAATGGCGCCCGCTTCCCTCTTATTGTTGCCTAGACTTGGAATTCCTGGAACCAAGCTTGCTGAAGGTTATGGCCAAATCGAGCGTAGAGGAGGATGGAAATGGTGTGAGTCTCATGTCTCTGATTTTGGGTAGGAGCAGGGAAACGTATAGATCTGCTAGTCTTTTTCTCCAGGAAAGGCAACAACCTCCTCTCTGTAACCTAATCACCCGCAAACGTACATGGCTCTAGGTCACATCGACAGCTACGGGGATGAAGGGCCACACCAGACTACGACCTGCCAGCAACACTTCTGCAATTAGTATGGGTCCGTAGGAACGGGACGTACTGCAAGCTGCCACCATGGGGCATGTCCAGCTAATCTTGCCAGCGTGATGTTTATCATCTCAACATTTGGGGCGGACAGAACTTATGGGCAAAAGCTGGGTCAAGATTGATCAATGGGTCAACATACAAATTCTGTACTGGCCAAGACTACACCAATAATAATGGGCCGGACCATTTTCGGGCAAGTTCTTTCAAAGGGATTAGCTGGATATTATCCTTTTCAGTCAGTCTAATATTTCAGCCCACTCCAAAAAAGATAAGTACACTTTAAATTTAATATTATTTATATTTATTTTAATCAATATTTTTTGTTGATAAATGGCACACTATCACGCACTTATGATCAAATACCTAGTAGAATGTGGCTTGAGACCCATCACTAGGATTTAAAGCCCTGACCTCTCAGGCACAAAGCCCTGGCCCTGACCCAGGCACAAAGCCCTGACCTCTCAGGCACAAAGCCCTGGCCCTGACCCAGGCACAAAGCCCTGACCTCTCAGGCACGAAGACCGGTCTTAGTCATTCCTCGAGTGGCGACCGTTGCTTATGAATGGCTCACACATCCATTCTACTAAGTATTTTATCATTACATTAACAATTCACATCTTCACTTGTTTCAAGTGACGAACTCCCGATCGGGAACATAAATCCCAAGAGAAAAAAATTTATATGTATGATAAATGTGTAGGTACGAAGATGACTTTACTCATTTTCACCTCATCTCCACTCGCCTCAAAGAGTGGGGACTGGGGGACTGAGGGGTCAGAGTTTCTAGATGAGCAGAAAACATCACGCAAGAGCAGGAACGAGAGCTGAGTCAGTTGAAGAGGAGCTGGGCTAGATTGATTATGCCGGAGGGGATTTACCTTCCTTGTTTCATGTTGGGGGCGCTAGGTGTACTCTTTTTCCCTTTATTAGGATTTTTTCCCACTGGGTTTTTCCTAGTAAAGGTTTTTAACGAGGCACCTCCCCATAATGGACAAGGGTGGTGGTCCCCCGGCCGAAGAGGAAGAACGTTGCAGATACAGTTTGGACTACTCCCTTTCGCCTCGAGTACTCTCGACTCAGGGAGTGGGGGACTCCTGATGGATTATATGGACTCCGACCCCCCGGTACGCCGACTACTAGGCCTGGACAGCGGCCCGCACACGTTTAGCGGATTCATATTATTGTACATTATTATTATTAAGATGTTCTAGGTTAGCTTTTTATACTATCAGTCCATTTATGTAACCGGGTCTGTCAGGCCCATATTAGAGGCGCAGACCCGGATTTTCCCTATATATACTCCTTATAGGAGGCTTGTAACTCATATAACAAATATTCATTCTATACACATTTTCTTCTTCTTCTTCTCCATTACTCCTTTTGATTCTTGTTCAATTTCTCCTGTTTATACAATATGGGTATCAATTATCCAACACTTGGTTCATAGAAGATAGTTGGTATTATTTAAAAATATTTTTTCATTCTAGTAAATGTATGTCAAATTCAGATGGACTACAATCATTGAAACATGTTTAGGCTATGTTTGGCACAACAAGCTGAAACTGGAGGCTAATGTCTGAATTAGAGGCTATTGTCTGAACTATAATTATTGTCTGGAGCTGAACTTTGAAGTGCCGAGTCTGAACTGCTAGCCGAATGAAGTAGATCTGTTTGGCAAAAAGAGCTGAAAAATTGTCTAGATAATATTCCGTATGAAATTACATTAAAGGACATTTGGTTAAATAAAATAATATATATATATGTGTGTGTGTGTATAATTTTTTATTTTATTAAATATCAAATAAATAGTATGTAGTAATATATTGGATGAACTATTTTGTCCTACAAATTTTAATGTGATTCTGCCTTTAGCAAAGCGTATATGCAAAAAGAATTATGAGACTTTTTAGAGCCACTTTTAAAACAATGGAACAACTTTATAAGAAAAATTATTTATCAATTATTGAGTTAAAGTCAAGTATGGTGATGACGTGATGATTGAATTACATTATATACGTAGTAGGGTGTCTTGCAATAGCTTTCAGCCATCGATGAAAAAATTGGAGGACAGTATGAATTTAATCATAATTGATTGAAATGAAAAGATTTCAGCCCTTCATTAGCTGAACTACCATGCCGAATATAGCCTTAGGCTATGTTTGGCATAACGAATTGGAGCTGGGGACTAATGTCTGAATTAGGGGCTATTGTCTGAACCAGATACTATTTGTCTGGATCTGAACTGCAAAGTGCTGAATCTGAATTGCTAACTGAATGAAGTAAACTCGTTTGGCAAGAAGAGCTGAAAAATGCTTGAATAACATGAAATTACAATATTACATTAAAGGTCATACTCCGTATAATTTGTGGTGATATATACGTAAGATATATATATTATTTACATTATTTTTTATGTTTACTACTACATATCATACTCCGTAATTTTTATAACAGTGATAATAATATTAATGATTATAATTATAACAGTAATCAAGCGATGAATTCAATTATCCTCCAATCTATCTTCTAAACTTTCACTTCTTTTTCAGCATTTAGCACACATGTATCCACCACACACTTTCACCACTTGCTCTCCACAACGACAAACGTAACTTTTCAACATCTTTAATGATTTAGAGTACACAAAATTATTGTTATTTTTTCCGTGTAATGTATGTAGAGTACTCGTATATATGTAGAGTTTATCTCCAGTCCTTAAGCTCAAGGAACAAATCGGATACCAAAGGAGGCAAAATAAGCATACGTGAGAAAACAGGTTGTTAAGATAGAAGAGAAAAAAGGGAAGAAACTGAAGTAGATGGGATTAGAAGAAATGAATTGAAGCGCTAGCAGAGGTCTGTCGACGAGGATAAAATGGGAATGAAGGCGCTAAATAAGAACGGCTAGAAATAAACGCTTTGTGTTGAAACGTTTCAATTCAGCTATATTTATCCACCTTAAGCCCCATGTTGGATAATTGATACTCATATTGTATAAACAGGAGAAATTGAACAAGAATCAAAAGGAGTAATGGAGAAGAAGAAGAAGAAAATGCGTAGGATGAAATAATATTTGTTATGGTTTACAAGCCTCCCATAAGGAGTATATATAGGGAAAATCCGGGTCTGGGCCTCTAATATGGGCCTGACAGACCCGGTTACATAAATGGATTGATAGTATAAAAAGCTAATCTAGAACATCTTAATAATAATAATAATGTACAATAATATGAATCCACTAAACGTGTGTGGGCCGCTGTCCAGGCCCAGTAGTCGGCAGACCGGGGGATCGGAGTCCATATACTCCATCACCCTAATCAGCCCTTCATCCAAACACTATTACTTTTATAATATTTGACTGAATTTAAGATATTTCAGCCCATTGTTAGCTGAAATGGTGTCCCAAACATAGCCTTAGTGTTATTTATGAATGAGCTGAACTCAAAATGCCCGAATTAAATATGGGGAAAATACGTATATATTACTCCGTACTAAAACATAGAGACACTCCCTAAATATGACCAAAAAGGAGAAACATGCGAAATGTGAGCAATAAATATGGGATGACATCTTGCGTCACATGAGACCCGCAATATAATTCCTTAAATGCCCTCAATAAGAATATCAAGAAAACCAAAAGACCAATACGGTTCAAATGGAAACAAGTGCTTTTTAGGAGCCATCTTCTATGCATGCATTAACTTCCAGCGAAATTATAGTCTTCGTCTTCTTAAAAATGAGAAAGAGACGTGCTCCACTAGAAAGGAAATATCCCATGAGAAAAAGGCGAACATTGAAGAAAAGAACGAGGCGTGTGAAAGAATGGAAGCAAATAAGGAACCATCTTCGGCCTCATATTTTGCAAGGAATGAAAGAATGGAAGACATTGAAGACCCGTTGTTGAGAGGAAGAGCACTGAGTCGGTAAGTAAAATGATAATGAATGTTTGAAATCATACGAATTATAGGCATGTGAAGCAATTTGTCCAGGTGTTGATGTGAATGCCGAAATTGATTTGCGAGTGTGTAAAAACTAGGATAGTAATCTGTATACTGAAAGTGATTCTTGAGGGTGTAAAAAAATGGCATTTAAGGCAATTTGAACACGGCAGTAATAGTGTTGGACATTAATCGAAATAATGAAAGTGATTTGCGATATTGTGAAGAATAGTGCATTAGGTGGCGATTTGAATAGGCATTCATAGTGACGAACATTAGTCTTCTTACTGTGAATTTGAATTGTGATTGTGTAAAAGAAAGGGCTTTATGGGACGATTTGGACAGGGCGGTATTATTGGAGAATATTAGGAACAAGTGAATACTCTGAAAAAATATGACATGAATTCAAAATGCAGCATGAATTACATTAGAAAAAATTACCTTTCTTACATGTATATGTAGTCAATTATGTCTTATTTGTTTCATTTGCATGAATATGAGAGGATTTGTGCTATGGATCAATAGGCGTTGGACACTGATATGAAGATCAATTGCCATTGCAATTCACAAAAGGTAGTAGAGACCATTGTGGCCCATCTAGATAAAAAAAGATTTAGAAGAGTTTAGGAAAACAGTGTTTGGATACTTTCTTGATATAGGAAACATATCATATTGCTCATAGCTAATTATGTAGAGACCAATGTTCCCGTGAGCTGTTGAGGAAAGACTGAAAAGAGTTATAAAAAAGCCTAGACGGTTCACACCATTTGGACCAGAAAAGAGAAAACAAGGAGGAAACGAGAGAAAAGGGGCGAGGACAAACACTATGATGCAGTGACGTTGGATGATCCCACGAAAATGCCAAACAATGATTTGGTTACAAAAGTTTGTGAATTCATGACAAAAGGCCTACATAAAAACCACAAAAGGATGGTTGGAAGAAAGTACAAGACTGACTTTGAGACTTTGAAAGTCAAAAGCATTTTAGGAAGGTGAGGCGATGTAATGATTGATAGTAAGTCATGGTCTTATGCAGCTTATTACTACTCCGAAATGCTAACCGGCATGAACCGAATCCACCTTGACAACACGGCTATGGATGGGCGCATTACTACTCTTTGTGAGGAAGTCCAGTAAGTTAGGGAGGAGAACCGTTTGCGTTTTGAACGGTTAGAAGAAAATCAACGTAAAGCATTGGGACCTGTGCATGCATACTTTGATAACAAGGGATACTTTGAATCCATACCAGTTCAACATCGACACCCTACATGGTATGACCCCTCTTCATGGGGCACTTTTGGTGGAGGAGGCCATGGCGGTGAGGCTAGCGATTATGGTGGCTACCACGGCGAGGATGATGGCGGAGAGCACCAGGGACAGTTCTTGGACAAAGTAGGGGGGAGTCACTCATTTGGTATGTATTCTTACATTTTCTACCCTTGTAACTCGCATTATTTTCAAACAACTGGAAAAAAAATCAAATAAAAGAAAAAAAATGCTAGTTATGTTGAAAACCCACAAAAAGGGCAATCTAAGCAAAAGTGGCTAAAATGAGTGAGTTTGGAAAGGAAAAGGAAAACAAAAAGAGAGGCTAGGATGAAACCTGAAAAGGCTCTTAGGCAGAATGAGAGAATGAGAGGAATGTTATCTTTGTTTGTGCAGGAACTCATTCCAATTGAGAGCGCTTAGGTTTCAAGAAATGACGAGTATTTTGTTCATGAAAATGATGAAGATCCCTATTGTCATTTGGGGAATAAATGTAAAAATTGAACACTTTACTTGCATTGAACCTACTTCTTAGTTTTATCTCTACGGATTTTGAACTGCTATGTTGATTTTACTCGAGGACGAGTAATGGACTAAGTAGGGGGAGTTTGATAGCATAGAATTATGTTTGTTTACGTGTGTAATTTTAACTAGTTTTATTTATTGTTGTAAGGAAAATTACACACTTTTGGTGTAATAGTTTATTTTTCCTATTTTGTTTGTAATTTGTTTAGATTAGGATTATTCTGAGTTTTAACTAGGTAAAGATCATCAAGAGGGTCCTTAGAAAGGTCAAGGAAAGTGAAAGGAAACAAGATAAAGTGAAGATTTGGAAAAGTAGTCATTTACCCGGTCGGGTAAAGCATTTACCCGGTCGGGTATTGACTTGATCTGAAAATCAAATCTGATTTGGAGGCAATTTAACGTGCAAGAAAAGATTTGGTAAAGATTTGTCTTCTACCCGATCGGGTTTCTCCAAAACCCGGTCGGGTATATTGTGACAGATGAAGGTTCCAGGCACTTACTCAAGAACCCCGATCGGGTTTCTCAAAAACCCGGTCGGGTAAATGGCCTTGATCGCTCCAAACACCGATAAATACACCCCCTTTGCTTCCCATTTGAGGACCTATTCACATACTCTCTTAAGCTCAGTTTAGAATAGTATTTCTTTATATTTTTCTAGCATGTTTAGTCTCCAAATGAGGAGCTAAACTTCCATTTCTTGGTGTTGCTCTTGAAGCTTGTTGATTATTAAAGTTGTGAGTTATTTTCTTAACTTCTTCCCTTGAATATTAATTCTTCCCTCAATCTGTCTATATATTAATGTTGGGAGTGTTACTAAGATGACAATTAGTTAACATCTCGACATTAGTTATAGTAGTATTTATTTTCTGCCTCTATATATTAATGTTGGGGAGTGTTGCTAAGATGACAATTAGTTAACATCTTGACATTAGTTATAGTAGGATTTATCATCTTTAATATTCTTCCTTGAATATTAATTAATTCCTATTCATATTTCATATTAATATTTTGAACATTACTTAAAGGATCAACTAGTTTTGTTTCATATATTAATTATTACTAGAAACGATCAACGAACCGATGGTTAATCGTTGATGGTTTCACAAGTAAGTAACTTCGGTTTATTAATGCACGGTCGTGGTTAATAAACTTAAGAGGGATTAATTTTGTTGGTTAAACCGAAACCGTTGTGTTGAAGTTATCAATCTCAATTGATTTCATCAAGGAGTTAAGAGATTAAATGCTACTATCAAGTCGGTATATGGCGGTGTTCTATATTTGACTAATAGTAAGGGTTATTAATGAACGGTCGTTGTCAATAACTACACTCGATGAATTGGATATACTCCTCGATTGAGTATTCGAGATGGGATAAGTTATAGATATAACAATGATCGACTAAAATATATCAACAAGTGGAAAGTAGCAATCCTTTTTATCTTTGAATTAAATCTCATATAAGTCGTTCATCTTCGTTTTTAATTAAATTAAATCACTCAATCCCAAACCCCCCCTTATTTACCAATTTTACTAAAAAGAGAATTATTTCTTTCCCTGTGGATACGAACTCTACTTCACCTATACTACGTATAAGTGCTAGTATCGAATATTATTTTGACGCACCGTGACAAAGTGCTCGTCATGGGCCGTTTGAAAGGTTGTTTATACGAAGCTATTCTGATAAGTGTAATGTTCAAAGCTATCTGCTAAAGGCCCTAACCGAGGTGGCCAGATCGAGGCGTCTAGCCCGAGGAGGCCAGACCGTGGTGACTGTTTCTTGAGCTAAGTTGTTGGATCCATGTATGAAGTTCATCATTTTGGGAATCTTTGTGTGAATAGTCCTCGCCTGGCCGAGGGGGGCAACTTAGGGGTACTCCAGTAGCTTGTAGTCTTGTCTGTGTATCCATGAATGTGTGGGTTGTGGGTCCGCACTTATACTCTATCAAGTATATTGATGACCTACGTGTGCATTTATTTGAAAATAACGAGACACGTAATATCAATCATTATATTGTGGGAGCTGCCATCTCGAATAACGAATAAGTGAAAATGTTGTTTTTTATGTAGTTGTTCGACCCTAGCTTTTTTTGGATAGAACCGCTAAAATGGAAACACTGTAAATAGGAGAATTTTGGGTTAACATTTTGAAATATGACGTTTTCTACTACTTATTATGGCCAAACTGCTAAATTACCAAACATCTTCTCGTAACCCGCCAACTTATTCAGTTAGTCAGACCCGGTGATTAAATCCGCTATTGACAGCCGCTAACATAATTCGTTATCTGCTAACCACTAAATGCCAAACACGTCTTATATTACATGATGTAAATCTCGTACATAGAAATATAACTCGTGTTAGTACAAATGTATTATGGGATGAGCAAAAATGTAAGCTCATTAACTTTGAGTCCAATATACAGGATAAAGAAATGTAACTTGCATTAATAGAAAATGTAAATTGAGGCAAGTTAAATGTAAATCAATATGTGTGTGTGTGTATAAGAAAAACTTTTTAAGAGCATACGGCGTGCCACATAATCCTGCCATGTCATCATATACAACAATTATTTAATTACTTTTTAGACCTTTTATTTTTTTTATTACATTCTATTTTTTATTGCACATTGATAGGGATACAAAAGACCGTAAGATAGAATCCACCTTAATTGGTAACCTTTTCAGAATGTATTACTTACTCCGTATTACAGAGTAATATGGATAGTTGTTAAAATGAGCATTTGCAACCACAACAATAAATAGCCATACGTACATATATACTTTATTTTATTTAATTATTTTTATACTTTGTTTTTATTACATTGTATTGAGAAGTGAATTATTCGTGTTTTGCACACATAACAGATAAATGATCCAAATTCTTGTTAATTTTGTTCTTCAAAGTTATTTTATAAAAAAAGTAATAATAGTATTCCATTTCCTAAAATGTAACAATTAAATAAAAAGTTGAGATGCTTATATAGAAGTCCAGTTTAAATATTTTTCATATAAATTTGAATTTATTTTATTAATTATGTACGTAATATGTAGTACAAGTATATTTTATTTTGCTTTTTCAAAATTTGGGAGATTCCATCAATTTAGCCCAATTAGTTAGATTTAATTCACTACAGTAGAGTCAGACAATTCGACCAATTTTAGTATTATCAAACAGCTTTATATTAGACTGAGTTTATTTTGATTTTGCATCACAATAAATTATATATGATTCCAAAAATATCAAATTTACAATTGGCTAAAGGGTCAAATGGGCCCTTGAACTGACTTAAAGTGTTCAATTAGCCCCTTATATAGAAGGTTCAGCCCGGCCATTGCCAATTAAGAAGGTTCCCGGTGGAATATTTTGATAGAAAAAATTTGAGCATCTTCTTCATTAAGTCTAGTTTACCCATATCAAATTTCAGCTAAAAATTAAATCGGGAAGGAAGGCAAATGATTTTCCGAAATGTACTGCGCTGTATAACTGCGCAGTTATCTTCAAAAAATCATTTGGCTGCTTTCCCGATTGAATTTTTAGCTGAAATTTGGTATGAGTAAACTAGACTTAATGAAGAAGATGCTCAAAAAATTTCATCAAAAAATTACATCGGGAACCGCCCCAATTGGCAACAGTCGTATAGAACCTCCTATATAAGGGGCTAATTGAACACTTTAAGTCGGTTCAAGGGCCTGTTTGATCCTTTAGCCTTTACAATTGCGATGCACGGGCTTGAAAACTAGTTGTCTAAAAGGCAGTGAGAGCATAAATTACACCGTACTCAAATTAATACACAATGTAACGAGGATCAGTATAATTTACGGAGTCCAATTTTCTATATGCTTCCTAGGTAACACACTAAGGGGTTGAAAATGATTACATTTCTTCTTCTTTTTTAAAAATAAGTAGAATAAGAATCAATTTTAAGAAGTTTGTCCTCCCAGGTTCTCAACAACTGCTTCTAATAGCAATTTCGGAAAAATACTTTTTACCTTTACATTCTCCATCATTTTACTATCAGAAGAGGGTGTGCGATACTCGGCGATACTTGGCGATCTGGTGCATGACGGACTCCAAATCGGAGGGGGCAAATCCTCCTCCGCCGGTGAACAAAGCATGGGGGGGAGGCAGATCTTTTGCAGCTGTCGTGGCTGGGGAGAAGGTGGACATCCCTTTATCCTAAAAAACACCGTCGAGATTCAAAGGGGTGCCATCGTTGGTATTTCCTGATGATGATGTTCAGATCCTTGCAGCCAGGCACCGGTTGGATCTGGTAGGATATTTCTGTAAGGGTAAGCCGGCTATGCCTACCTTACGTAAAGCTTTTGAGTTGATTGGATTTAAAGGAAAATTTCAACTTGGTATTATAGAAAAGAAACATGTTTTAATTAGGTTTGATTTGGAAGATGATTATTTGCGGTGCTGGAATAGACAGCGTTGGGATATCTTTGGTAACGTGATGCGTGTAACCAAGTGGACACCGGATTTCCAACCAAATGTGGAATCACCGGCGGTTCCAATTTGGCTAAGCTTTGAAGGTTTGCCGATTCACTTGCATGATCAGAGGGCTTTATTTGACATAGCCAGACTCATTGGAAGGCCTTTGAAAATTGATGCGGCTACATCATCCTTATCCCAGCCCTCAGTGGCCAGTGTGTGTTGAGGTAGATCTCTCAAAAGAAATGCCTAACAAGCTATGGATCCAATGTGGATCACGTGGTTTCTTTCAGTCTGTGGTATATGAAAACAAGCCACTATACTGTGGCTATTGTTTACATTTAGGACATTCCACTAAGGCTTGCCCCAAAAAACCTAATGGATCTTTGGGTGATACTGTGGTGGAAGTTACTGGCACAGGGAAGTGGGTTGTTAAACCCAAAGAGCAGAATCCAGATAAGGAGAAACCTATAGTTATTACAACCAAGGAGAATGTAGAGGGGGAAAAGGACTCAATTATTACAACTCAGGCCCCAAAATCAAAAGGGAAAGGCAAAATGGAGGACTTGCAGCCGGTGTTACAACCTGTGGATCCTTCAAACATTCCGTCTACCTCAAGGAAAGCCTCAGGAGATATAGTTGATATCGATTTGGACTCTGGAACTGAGGAGGTGTTTACTGAGCCTATGAATCCTCTGGGAGAGGCAGCAGCTCACTCATTAGACTTCATTCATCCTGCAGATCAGAGGAAAAAGACAATAATAGAAGGTATTCCTTATTCTGAGTTATACAGAATTGATAAACCCAAAGAAGACTACAACCTTTTGCAACTAAATAAAATTAAAGAGTATGATCCTGCTATAGCTGCAAAAGGCTATTCATCTGATGGTGATGGAGGGTGTATTGATAATATGCAAACGTGGAAGACTGGTCAAGAGAAACTTACTCAGAAATTGAAGGTCTTGCTAGATAAAATGCCTCAGCAGTCAGACGCAGTTCTTTTGGGGAACCTGGAGAATAAAACATGTGTTCAACAAGATGGATTTATTACTGTGGCACGGAAAAAGAAAAAGAAGCAGCCTATTCAAGTTGTTCCAGACACTCCTAGACTAATTAGGAATGCAGCTAAAAAGCTGGCTTTAGCTTTTACTGCCATTC